TTAATAAAACCTCTAAAATTTTCCCTCTATTTTCGGTTACAAAATTTGTCATTAATATTTTTTACTTCTCACATTAATACATCTTAATGAGTGTAATTGTTTGATAAAAGAAGAAACTCGAAATAAATGAGTAAGAAAGCTGTAAGTCTCATTGCTCAATATGGATCATTTTTCAAAACTTCATTGTAACAGTACATACTTTCCTTCTTCATGCTAACTAGGGTTCCTAAACAGGTAAACTATATATATATTATGTTAGACATGATCCTACGGTCTGCAGCTCATCTTGGCTTCTTGTTCTTCATTATGCTTTCTTCTCTTTCCCTCAGCTATCTCACGTTGACGTGGCATTGACTCATGTTGACCTTCGATATCCATGCACGTCCCTTTGTGCTGAGGTGGCCATTTTCCTTTGTCTATTTTTTATTTTCTCATGCTGCAGCTAAGGGCATGCTTTCCACATATGCTATCATCTCTCCTCAAGCTAAACGAGGTAAAAGGAACCACTTGGAGAAGGGTGCAGAACCGAGAGAAGGCTTGTTGTGATAAAGGCTTTGTAAACACATCACCTACTTGATCAACTGAAGGAACATGCAGAACTTTGAGATTGCCTTTAGCTACCTGCTCCCTCACAAAGTGAAAATCTATCTCTATATGTTTTGTACGAGCATGAAGGACCGGATTAGATGATAGAGAGATTGGGCTCAGGTTGTCAACCCATACAACTGGTGTGTGAGTACAGGTGGTGTTAAGTTCTTTTAGTAAGGATTTAATCCATGTGAGTTCAGCTGCTGCTTGAGCCAAGCTTCTATATTCCGCTTTTGTACTGGAACGAGAGATAGAATGTTGTTTCTTCGAGCACCAAGAGACAGGATTCTTACCAAGGTAAATGCAGATACCCGAGGTTGACCTCCTATCATCTAGGTCATTTGCCCAGTCTGAGTCAGAGAAAGCATTAAGGTGAGTACTGGAATTTTTTGTGTAATGAAGACCATGTGAGAGAGTACCAACAAGGTACCTTAGAATCCTTTTAACAGCTTTCCAATGAGTATCTTTGGGGCACTGCATATATTGATATACCTTGTTGACACTATAGAAAATGTCTGGTCCTGTAATGCAGGCATATTGGAGAGATCCCACAATACTTTTGTATAAAGTAGGGTTGTCCATGGAAGTGCCTTGATCTTTGGACAGAACTGAAGAAGATATCATGGGAGTAGGTAGTGGCTTGGCATCAAACATGTGTGTCTTGGTAAGAATGTCTTTGATGTACTTAGATTGACTAAGTAACAAGCCCTGAATTGTCTTGTTTATCTCAAGACCAAGGAAATGATGTACCTGACCATGATCTTTTAAGGAGAATTGTTGTCTAAGTGTACCAATCACAGTTGAAATTGCAGCAATGTTGCATCCTGTAATAAGGATGTCATCCACATAGACTAGAAGCCAAATACAAGAAGAGCTGGTATTCTTAATGTAAAGAGAGCAGTCAGAAGATGAGTTTATGAAAGCCAAGGGAGAGCAGAGACTGGTTGAGTTTAGTGAACCAGGCCCTAGGTGCCTGTTTTAAGCCATAGATAGACTTTTTGAGCTTGCAAACAAAATGAGGGTTGATGGGGTCTTCAAATCCTAGTGGTTGAGCCATATAGAATTCCTCTGTAATCTCACCATTGAGGAAAGCATTATTAAAATCAAGATGTTTGACATACCAGCCATAGGATAGGGCTAAGGAGAGAGCAATCCTAGTTGTTGTTGTTTTAACCACTGGGCTAAATGTTTCATAGAAGTCAATTCCTGCAGTTTGGCTGAATCCCTTGGCAACTAGTCTGGCTTTGTGCCTAGCCACACTTACATCTGCATGTCTCTTTATTTTAAACAGCCACTTACATACAATGATGGATCTGTTGGAGGGTGAGGGGACAAGGGTCCATTATTGTTCTTCAGTAAGGCCTAATGTTCAGAGATCATAGCTGCTTTCCAAGTGGGGTGAGTGAGAGCTTCCTTGTATGTTGATGGTTTCTCTTGGGCAGACTGAGCTGTAAACACTCTTGGTTTAAGAGAACTTGTCTTTGACATGGTTATCATAGCGTGAGTAGCCACAGGAGCATTAGTAGGGAATGTAGATTCAGTGTTATTGTCTTCCACAATTGGCAAATCAACATACAAAGGCACTGTAAAATTGGATGACGTGTTAGAATGTGAAGAGGATGAAGGATTAGAGGGTGAGGAGTGTGAGCTGACAGGTTGATGATGAGAAGGAGCAGTGTGTGAAGGTGAAGTGCTTGGAGAAGTGTGAGACATGTATTGTGATGGAGTTGCAGATGGAACACTATGCACTATGGGGGGAGGTGTTGTAAGAATGAGGTTAAATTATTAAGGTCTGGATGAGGTGTTGAGGGAGTAGAGAATGGAAACTGAGACTCATCAAAGATGACATCCCTTGAAACTATAACTTTTCCTAATGACAAAAAAACTTTGTATCCTTTGTGTTGTTCGCTGAAACCAATGAATGTTGATGGTAAGGATCTGGGTTGCAATTTATGTTTGTTGTATGGTCTGAGGTTGGGGTAACAAAGGCAGCCAAAAACTTTGAGGGTGGAGTAGTTTGGTTTGTGGCCATATAAAGTTTCCAGAGGTGAGGTGAAGTGAAGTGTAGGGACTTGACAGGATGTCTATTTAGGATGTAAATAGCTGCACTGAAAGCATCATCCCAGTACTTGAGAGGGACATGGGAATGATATAAGAGAGAAAGCTGCATTTCTACAATAGTTCTATGTCTCCTTTCTGCCACTCCATTCTGAGCAGGTGTATAAGGACAAGAAAGTTTGTGGTTGATGCCAGATTCAGAGAAGATTGAGGTAAGAGCTCTGAATTCTCCTACCCAATCACTTTGTATGGCCTTTATCTTGTGATTGAGTTGATTTTCAGCTAGATTTTTGAAATGAAGGACGACATTCTTAACCTCAGACTTGAATTTGAGAAAGTATATCCAAGTACATTTAGTATAATGATCAACAAAGCACACATAATATTGATAGCCATTTTTAGATTTAATGGGGGATGGCCCCCACACATCAGTGTGAACAAGTTCAAGAGGAGATGTATAAACAGCAGCAGAAGAGACATAAGGTCAAGAGTGAGCCTTAGATTGTTGACATGAGCAGCAAACAAACTTGTCATTAACAGAAACTGAAACATTACATGTTCTCATTACTTTAGAGACAACATCAAAAGCAGCATGTCCTAGTCTAGAGTGCCATAAGGCCAAATCATTGTTCTTATTAAAAGTGGCAACATGTGCTGAAAATAAAGGAGAAATGGCATGCTGCAGAGGAACTTGTGGTGAGAAGTGTGAGCAGTTGATATCAAAGCTGTAAAGACCTCCTTTAAGTGAACCTTGGAGAAGAACCTGGTGTGTGGCTTGATCCTTAACAAAACAAAGAGTGGGATAGAATTCAAAAAAGACTGAGTTATCATGAGCAAACTGAGAGACACTCAACAAATTCTTTGTAATATTAGGAACATGAAGAAGATTTTTGAGAATAAATGATCTAGATGGATGTGAGGGATGTTGAAAGTTTGAATTGCCAATGTGTGAGATAGACAAACCTGAACCATTACCAACATGCAGCCTGTTGTTCCCTTGATACTCAGTGGCAAAGTTGAGGTTGGATAGTTCATTGGTAACATGATTAGAGGCACCTGAGTCTGTAAACCAAAAGGATTCTGTTTTTGGATCAGGTGAGACTACTAGTGCATTGTGTGGAGAGGGCATGGGAGATGCAGGTGGGCCAGTGAATTGAGTCTAAGCAGTTTGAGCTTACATAGTGGTAGGTGGTGGGTAAGAGGAGTCATATCTGTGGTAACATCTATCTGCAGTGTGATTGTTGAGACCACAAAGTTGACAAGATGGTCTGTTGTTGTTCCTAAAACCTCTACCACCTCTTCCTCTATAATTATTTGATCTGCCCCTGCCCCTCTGAGATGAAGGAAATCCTCTTAAGTGTGAGAAATTAGAAAATTGAGTGGGTGGTTTCTGAGCAGAGGGGTTATGAGAGGCCACATTCACACTGGGAATAGAACCATCTGAGTTCACAATGGACTGTGTAGTGACATCAAGTCTTGACTCAAGACTAAGCAACATGGCATAGAGTTCATTCAAGGTGTAGGGCTCTACTCTTGAGGTAACTGCCACTACAACTGGATTGTATTCACTTCCTAGGCCTGCAAGAATATAGAGAATGTGGTTCTGCTCAGAGACAGGTTCACCAGCCACCCCTAGAGAGTCACAACATGCTTTGACTTTGCCAAGAAATTCCCTCATGGTGCTAGATCCCTTCTTCAATGTTTGCAACTGGAGTTTATGATGCATTAGCCTGGCCTTAGAGAGGCTTGAGAAATTAGATTCCAGTGAAAGCCACACATCTCGAGATGTATTCTTACCTACCATCATGATGAGTAGGTTTTCACTCAAAGAGGATAATAACCATGACATTAGAAGTTGGTCTTGTCTCAGCCATGTTGCATACTCCGGGTTTAAAGTGGGATGGGATGTGTTTTCAGATGAAATGAACCTCTGTGGTGGAACACAGTCAGCTGAGATAAAATTTTCCAGGCCATAGCCCACAATGGCACTATAGGTTTGTTGTTTCCACAGTAGGTAGTTAGCATCTGTAAGTTTGATGGAGATAAGTTGGCGTTGGGGGTGGATGAATAGAGGGTTGTTGCTAGTGATGGGATTGCTTGTACCCTCAGAAAATGTCTGAGAAGCCATGAGCTTGATGGATCAGAAGAATTGTTGATAAGAAATGGATCTGAGATTCAAGGCATACATGTTAATCCAAGGTAATGTCAAGATCTGAGAATATTGATTTGAAAGTGACATGAGGCTCGAGGTTTAATGTCAGATCTTGGCTCTTGATACCATGTTTGATGAAAGAAGAAACTCGAAATAAATGAGTAAGAAAGCTGTAAATCTCATAGCTCAATATGGATCATTTTTCAAAACTTCATTGTAACAGTACATACTTTCCTTCTTCATGCTAACTAGGGTTCCTAAACAGGTAAGCTATATATATATATATTATGTTAGACATGATCCTACGGTCTGCAGCTCATCTTGGCTTCTTGTTCTTCATTATTCTTTCTTCTCTTTCCCTCAGCTATCTCACGTTGACGTGGCATTGACTCATGTTGACCCTCGATATCCATGCACGTCCCTTTGTGCTGAGGTGGCCGTTTTCCTTTGTCTGTTTTTGATTTTCTCATGCTGCAGCTAAGGGCATGCTTTCCACATATGCTATCAGTAATCATGTATGTTTCTA